TATTTATATTTTTACCACAGGCAAACAATGGAGTAAAGATTATTGAATAACAAAGGGGTAACTACTAATCAACATACCAGCATAGCTAGAATAATGGTTAATGTAATGATAGGAATTATGTATAATGACACTCAGGTGATAAATCAATAAAGATAAATAACTAATCAACTTGGGAGAACAATGGGTGAGGTAGATTTGAAAGGTTCTAATATGGCTAGAGGGGGTGAATAGCCTATTTAAAAATCTACAAATCAACTAGAGCAATTTGATTAGTATAACAAATAGCGAAATGCAAATTTGCTCTAGCTCTACAAGGGTTGCAAGCCACCTATCCAATAATTCTAGTTACTATAATCACTAGACACATAATTTGCTAAGTCACTACTCACTAAGAGCTCTCATACTTGCTACACTAAAGAGCTCCACTAGATGAAATCAAACTACAAAGCAAGCTCTCAATTCTAGCTACATTAAAGAGCTTGCTACAACTAGTTTCCGAGAATATAAATAAATGAGTAGGGTGATTATACGGTCGTATAGAGGACTGAATCAATCATAAGATGAATACTAAATCAATCACCGGAAGAATACCAAAGGGCGAGAGAATCAATTTTGTCCCGATGTTCACGTGCTTGCCAACACGCTACGTCCCCGTTGTGTCAACCAACACTTGGTGGTTTGGTGGCTAAGAGGTGTTGCACGAATCTCGTCCACACAATTGGACATCGCAAGAACCTACCCACAAGTGAGGTAACTCAATGACACGAGCAATCCACTAAGGTTACCTTTCGGCACTCCGCCGGGGAAGGCACAAGTCCCCTCAATCACCGGGAGATGGCCACGAACAATCACCAACTCGTGTCAATCCTCCTCCACTGCACTAAGCCGTCTAGGTGGTGGCAACCACCAAGAGTAACAAGCAAATCTCACAGCGAAACATGAACACCAAATGCCTCTAGATGCAATCACTCAAGCAATGTATTTGGATACCCTCCCAATCTCACAAAGACGATGAATCAATGATGTAGATGAGTGTGAGGACTTTGGCTAACTTCACAAGGTTGCTATGTCAATGCAAATGGCCATGAGAGTGAGCTTGAGCCGGGCATGGGGCTTAAATAGAGAGCCCCCATGAATAGAGCCGTTGGCTCTCTGTTCTCTAAAAAGTCAGGGCGACCGGACGCACCGATCAGATCGATCGGACGCACCGATCAGATCGACCGGACGCAGGACCCCAGCGTCCGGTCACACGATGCACACCACGTGGCCCCTGCTTCAAATGCCGATCGCTCGATCTCAATGGTCATTAGTACATTTAAGTTATGACCGGACGCACTACAGTGTAGGACCGGACGCACAGTGCCCATCGTTCGGTCACTTCCAGTAAGGTACCAGTCGCGACCGGACGCGTCCGGTCACGCTCGATCGGACTCGCCCAGCGTCCGGTCATTCACGGTCTTCTCTGTGCGCCGCCACATCAGCAGGACCGGACGCTGAACAGTGTTCAGCCAGAGTCCGGTCACCTGCGTCCGATCAAGAGACCAAGGGCGGCCTTCACTGCACGCCGCTGACCGGACGTAGGATCCTAGCGTCCGGTCACTGCATGACCAGCGTCCGGTGCACTCTGTGAAACCCTGTCTTTTCTGTATAGAGCGTTGGTGGCACCATTGGACTATCCGCACTCTACGGGCGGACACTCCGCCGGTGAAGTTTTGAACCCTTGCTCCCAAGTGCTAAACACAATGTGTATCACCTTTGTGCATGTGTATTAGCATATTTTTCATAAAATATTTTCAAGGGTGTTAGCTTTCCACTAGATCCTAAATGTATATGCAATGAGTTAGAGCATCTAGTGGCACTTTGATAACCGCATTTCAATACGAGTTTCACTCCTCTTAATAGTATGGCTATTAATCCTAAATGTGATCACACTCTTTAAGTGTCTCTATCACTAAACCAAAAAGCTTCTATCAATTTCACCTTTGCCTTGAGTTTCTTGTTTTTCTTTCTCTTCTTTTCCAAGTCCAAGCACTTGATCATCACCATGCCATCAACATCATCACATCATGATCTTCATTTGCTTCATCACTTGGAGTAGTGCTACCTATCTCATAATCACTTTGATAAACTAGGTTAGCACTTAGGGTTTCATCAATTCACCAAAACTAAACTAGAGCTTTCAAGATTTGTATGACATTCTTATTACATGGTCAAAGTATAACCAACTATAGGTAAGACTAACTCTACTCTTGTGCACTACGGGACACTGCTAGACGGTTGAGCACCACAAAGGATAACTCTAGTGACGCGACTACGGTCATACAATTTAAAAACCTGCTCACATGGGGTGGACCACAGAGGATAGACGGGGCTGTCACCTCTTGTTGCTACCACATGGCCAGGGAATAGGGTGTACTCACAGACAGAGCATCGTATAAACACTATATTTACACGAGACTCGGCTACTTAGCCCAATAGGTAAACTAGCGGGCTAAACGCTCTATAAACCCGCACACAAAAGTAATGATAACTTTAACTAAGCAAGATATATATTTAAAGTAAGCATAGCAATGTAGATAAGAATATGATAAATTGATAATAAGTCTTGCAAGATGTAGAAGTGAAGATACAAGGCTTTGTCAAGCCTCCAAAACTAGATCCGGAACTTGAGCATGAGCCCATCTCGACACTCACTCCTGAGCTACTAATCTACTACATTGAAGAGTTCTAGACCTATTCCTTCTGGTGTGTGTTGATCTGAATGAGAGATATGAATTAGGGTTTCAGGGATGGCTCTAGGGAGGGGGGATAGGGGCTGCTATATATTGGGAGTAGCATCAATTCTGGACCCCTCTCGATCAAACCGACTTAAATCAACGGCGTAGATGTGGTCCGTAAGGCGGTGGAGAACCGACATAGGGAGGAGGGCTGAATGTTGGAACTAGTAGGCCGGTTGGCCTGCAGGTGGGGCTGGCCAGCCCCCCTGTCAACCTCTTGGCTCGATCTTCGGCGGGGAGTCTTCTAGGGTGTTCTAGAGTCTTCTGGAGTTGTTTTCGTCGCGGATAAACACGATTAAATATGACGATTGGGTCTTCCTTGACGGTTTTCTGATTAAATCCTCCTGCATTCACAGATTTACCAAAACTTATGGAATTTATTAATTTAAACCCCTAAACCTATGTTTGGTGATGGAATTAAGTATATATGCAGGTTATGTTGACGGTTTATGATTGATGTTAATGACCGTCAGCAGGTGTACCATTCCAGACTTTACAATAATAATAATATGTGAATAAACTTATACATAAATGTGCATATAATTATATTCGACTTAACTTATGGCGTAATTACCATTTTTACCAAACTAACATATCATTCAACAAGTTCATAAGACTTCAAACTCCAAAGTTCATATATGGAAAATAAAATACATGCAACCATGCCCAGTATTTGACTAGTATTGTCCGGTATTGATCGGTATTTGACCAGCTACGGGATTGTGGCTCTTCTATATTGGTCTAGGTGCCGGTACGAGGCATTCCTACCGGAATGGAATTTACAACTTTGTGTTGTGACATACGGAAGGAGAAGGGCGGGAACCGCATGTTGTAAGAGTATGTTTCAAGTGTTTTAGATATTTCAGAGATATGTTGCAAGTGTTGTATATCGATATTGCAAAAGTAGATTGGGATGTTGCACATGTTGTAATGGTTATACACGTATGTTTCAAGTGTACGTTCTAAATGTTTTCATCTGTTTCAGATGTATGATGCAAGTGTTTTTATCTCGATGTTGCAAAAGTAGATCTGGATGTTACATATGCTTGCATTTTTGTAAATATATGTTTCAAGTGTTTTCAGGTGCTTCATACGTATGTTTGCAAGTGTTTCATTTGAATGTTGCATATGTTTGCAATGGTTTTCAAAATCTTTTAGGCGTTTTTGCAAGTGTTTCGAACGCTTGTTTCAAGTGTTTCATCTGTCTTCTTTTGTATGTTGCAACTGTTACATCTGGATGTTTCAAAAATAGATCGGGTGTTGCATATGGGATGCGTGGGAAGCGGCTGATGGCGTGGGCGACGTCCGGGACGGCGTGAGCCCATTGCTGGTGCGCTCGCACGTGAGCCCGACGTGTTAGGCGCTCGCTCGCTCCCTGTGCGGACACCGTCCGCATAGGACGTCCGGGCGCTAGCAACTTCGCTAACATTTACCATACCAAATATTTAGCAAACAGAAGTTAAGTAAATAAATTTGTCATGGATTTGTCAAGCCAACTATGAGAGATTGATAAGTTTTAATAGCAAATCAAAATAACAGCTATCATGGCTCGTCAAATCTTTAACTTAGACATATTTTAGAAGCGAACCTCTATATATCCAACACAATTTTACAAACCTGATGCACTTTTATTTACGCATCAGACAACGATATTTTGATGTTAAAAATGAATTTGATGCGGCGACAGTTGCAACGTTGAAGGATCTTTTGAAGCAATTTTGACTTCCAATGGTTACAGAAACAAGCTTCATGTATTTCTTAAATTGATTCTTGCACCTGTTTTGGCTTATGGCAAGAGGAATTACGCATCAAACAGGCCATTGCTATCCTCTGATCTCATGCTGGCCTGCTGGGTGTATTTTAACATTTTCCTGTAGTTGATTGATGAATTGTTCTTGGCAAGTTGGCATCATAAAAAAAAAGGCCGGGGCGGCTTGAAATCACCTTCGGCCCTAGTACTACTTTGGCAACCAAAAAGTCTAGGCCGGCGAATAATTGGCCCAATACTTCGGCCCATACCCACCACTTCCCTTTGCCCTTTCCTTCACACGTCGCCCCTATTTCTCTGTCTGTCTGCCTCGCTTCCGGTTCCGGCCTTCCCCTTCCTCTGCAAGCCGCAACGCAAAGCGCAAGGTGGATTTCAAAAACCCTACCCGCTACCCTACTCCGCACCCACCCCGATCTCCCTCTCCCAACCAGATCGCCGGCCCGCGGCGGCGCTAAATGGAGGTGGCGCCGGAGACGCTCGACGCCCTCGCGGGCTGGTTCGTGCACTCGCTCTCACCCGACGCCGCCGCGCGCCGCGCCGCCGAGAAGAGCATCGACTCCGCCGCCTCTTCCCCGGGCTTCGCGCTGGCGATCCTCGCCCTCGCGGCCTCTCCGCGCCACGACCTCCAACCCCGCCTCGCCGCCTCCGTCCAGTTCAAGAACCTGCTCCGCAGCCGGTGGCCCAAGTCCGACGCCGACGCCGCGGACGCCGCCGACCACCTCCCCGCCTCCGACTGCGCCATCATTAAGACGCACCTCCTCCAGCTCCTCCTCACCGCCCCGCCCCTCATCCAGGCGCAGCTCTCCGAGGCCCTTGCCGCCGCCGCGGCCTCCGATTTCCCCGCCAAGTGGGAGTCGCTCCTCCCCTCCATCGTGTCCTCCTTCGGTACGGCCGTCAACGCGGGGGACATCGCCGCCACCAACTCTCTCCTCGCCGCCATCGTGTCGCTCTTCTCCCGCTTCCGCAACGCATTCGACAATAATGCCCTCCGCCTCGACCTCAAGTACTGCCTTGACATCTTTGCCGCCCCACTCCTCGAGGTCTTCCTCTTCGCCTCCCGCCGCCTTCAGGCCGCAGCCACCACGGCCAACCCGCTCGAGCTCCGCCCCGTGTTTGAGTGCCTTCGCCTCTGCTGCGAGATCTTCTACTCGCTTAACTCCATCGACCTGCCTGAGTTCTTCGAGGATAACATGCGCCAGTGGATGACAGAGTTTCGTGCCTTCCTCACCACATCCTACCCACTGCCCGTGGAGGCAGATGGTGCCCCGGATGCGCTCCGTGCTGCTGTCTGTGATAACCTGCAGCTTTATATGGAGAAGTACGAGGAGGAGTTTAGGGGGTACCTGAAGGAGTTTGTTGAAGCTGTGTGGGGGCTCCTCATGGCGCAGACCGCTTCTCCATCCCGTGCACAGCTTGCCGTTACTGCAATAAGGTTCTTGACTACAGTTGCCGAGAGTGTGCACCATGCCTTATTTGGGAGTCCTGAGGCAATGAAGCAGATATGTGATAGTGTTGTCGTGCCTAATTTGCGCCTGCGGGATGAGGATGAGGAGTTGTTTGAGGGCAATTGGGTGGAATATGTTAGGCGTGACTCTGAGGGTAGCGATGCAGATACGCTCAGACGGGCAGCGTGCCGGCTGCTGCGAGGCCTTGCAGCGAACTACCGGGAGCAGGTGGCTGCACTTGTGTCAGCACAGGTCCAGCAGATGTTGGCTGCATATGCTGCTAATCGGGCAAACAACTGGAAGGAGAAGGACGCTGCAATGTACCTTGTTATTGCTCTTATGCAGAAGCCTGGTGCCACAGGTGGCGGTACACCCGTGGTTGACATGGAGAGCTTCTTTACATCTGTGATTGTGCCTGAGCTCCAGGCCCCTGATTGGCAGTCTGAGCCAATGTTGAAGGCAACTGTGCTCAGGTTCTTGAAGGAGTTCAGGGATCAGATCCCCAAAGCCACTGCACTGGCACTCCTACCAAGTGTGGTGAGGTTTCTGACACATGAGTCCAATGTTGTTCATTCATATGCTGCTACTTTTATCGAGAACCTGCTGATCATCAAGGATGCTGTCCCGGTACCAGGGTTGACCACAGTGACCAGGTGCGTAAAATGCTGACAACCCCCATTTCGGCTGTCATGTGATATATGTCCTCTTTTCTTGCAGTTTATTTACCAGTGGTTCCATAGGGGATGGCCGGGATGCAATTCGAGTTGAACCACATAACCTATCAACAGTAGTTTCGTACACGAATTAGGAATAAGTGGTTTACACCTTGAACTTGTGCTGTTATAGTGATCGTTTATTCAAATCTCAATCAGTTACAATTGAATCTGTTTGATTTTTGAGCCAGTGTTTTTTTTTCCAGTTCTAGAATAGAGGGTCAGAGGAGCAGGTGACTATATTCCTTAGTGCTGCATGAGTTAGTTTCCTTTAGTGCTGGATTGCTTCTTCTCTTGCCAATCTGGATTAGTTTGTTGAGTAGACAAAAACAATGCTTTTCAGTTTCTGATATTGACAAGCTAGAACCCTCCTTGTTTGCCTTTCTTGTTAGTCGTACATTCTACTCTGCCTTTTCAGTTCATGTACTCTAGTGGTGCATCAGCTTTCGGTTAGTACTATGGGTTGAGAATAAGAACCTTAATGCGCACCCTTTAGTTCCATTGCATTCTGACATGGTAATGCCATGTTTGGTACACTGAATTTCTTATTGCTAGAAGTTGATAAGTTAATCTTCCTAATGTTGGTTTACTGCTAGAATATGTTTGCTCGCAGTACTGAATGGTTAATGCAAGCTGACTGATTTACGTATTTTACTTCTAAACAAAAGACGTGCTTAATATTCTCATGACATGCAAAGCAATTATACTAATTCTGGTTGTAGGCAGCTTGTTCGATGATGTATTACGTTTATATGCTGCTGTTTTACTTCATGCTATGTTACTGTGCAAATAAATACAACAACAACAACAACAACAACAAAGCCTTTAAGTCCCAAACAAGTTGGGGTAGGCTAGAGTTGAAACCCAGCAGAAGCAATCAAGGTTCAGGCACGTTATGTTGCTGCTCAAATAAATAGGAAATAAAAATGCTGACTTACATTTTAGCCTAATCTATGGACTGCTTTGTTTTGCAACTCCAGGTCTCCACGTTATGTTGCTGCTGATATCAATCCATTTGCCGCACAGATCATTCAGAACCTGTCCACAGCACTAGGTTTCCCTGATTCATACGAGAACCCCTACCTGATGAAGTGCCTGATGCGGGTGCTTGGGATTGCTAATATAGCTGGTCAAATTGTTCATGAGATCACTACTCGACTTGTGGGTATTCTCATGGAAGTGTGCAATAACCCCAAGAACCCTGACTTCAACCACTACTTGTTTGAGGCTCTGGCAGCAGTTATTGGCCGGACTGGTGAGCAGGATCCAGCACTACTCCCTGCTTTTGAGGCCAGTCTCTTCCCAGTGCTCCAGAGGATATTGGTTGAGGACATCTCAGAGTTCTGGCCATATGCTTTTCAGATATTTGCACAACTCGTCAATTTGAGTCGACCACCTCTCTCGCAGAATTACATGCAGCTATTTGGTGTCCTTCTCAGTAATGCCACTTGGGACCGACCACCATGTGTTCCTGCCTTGGTTCGCTTGCTGCGAGCATTCCTTAGGAAAATTCCAAATGAGCTAAACCAAGAGGGCAGGCTTCCAAATATCTTGGCAATATCCCGTAGTCTCCTCTCACGCAGCAGCACGGAAGATTCTGCATTCTACATGCTGAACACAATAGTGGAAAATGTTGGTTTTGACATTCTGAACCCATATATAAGTGAGATATGGAGTGCTTTGTTTACTCGGCTGCAGACTAGACAGGCAGTGAAATTTGTGAACTCTCTTGTGGTTTTCATGTCACTAGTGCTGGTCAAATATGGATCAAGTGTTCTTGTCAGTTCCGTTGATGCAATTCAGCCAAATCTTTTCACCCAAATCCTTCAGCGATTTTGGATTCCCAACCTCAAATTGATCAAAGGTGCTCTTGAAGTTAAGTTGACAGCAGTTGCTTCGACAAAGTTGCTTTGTGAGTCTGTGGTGCTGTTGGATGCTGCTGCAGCCCAGTCGTGGGGTAAATTACTTGACAGTATTGTCTCACTGTTGTCCAGAACGAATCAAGATGGGGCGCAACAAGAGCAAAATGATGGTACTGATGCAGTGGATATTCAGAAGACATCAAGTTATTCTGTCTCATTTGTACGGCTTCAATATGCTGGAAAGAGTGAAGATGGCCTTTTGAAAGAAGTAAATGATACAAAACAGTTTGTGGTCACATCCTTGGCCACACTTTCTGTCCAGTTTCCTGGGAGGTTTGGTCCTGTCATTGAGCAGCATGTAGACCCAGCAAACAAAAGTGTGCTTCTTCAACTTTGTGCAGCCTACAATGTCAACATTGTCTAGGTAAACAAATTTCAATGGTATTCTTTTATGAGCTTAAAACACGGAACATCTGTTTGATACTTTTACCATTTTGTTCTGAAGTTTTGTAAATCATGTACATACCTGTTAACAAAGTAACAACAGAAACTGCTGAATGGTATGCGAGGCTATTTGAGTAGCATAGTTATCATCTGTGGCGAGTTAGGGCATCCAGCTTCGTGTTCACAACATCTTAATGGTCACATGCAATTGATTAGCCATTGCTATGAATTGTTGTGTTCTTTTTACAATTTCACATCTAGTTGCTTCAACTATATCATTGAAAAACCTTGCACATCTGGATATTATTTTGAAAACTGAAAAAATGTTCATATATTAACCACTAGTGGCTATTGAAGGTCTCTTGGATCTCTTCTCAGCTTGCAATTCATGACTACAGTTAATGTCATTCACATTTTCCAAGCCAGAAACTTCAATGGTAGCACATCTTGTGTCTCTTTTTTTTGGGGGGGAACTCAAAGGTGATATTCAAACTGCATGTTCTTAGGTCATCTTTCCAAATTTATAATGTGATTGGTATGGAGTACTTTGGTAGTTTTAACTGTCGAAATTTGGTTGGAAATTGGGTGTTGTGTGTGCACTTAGTGGTCTCAACTCTCTAGTTTGGAGGAGGATTTAGCTACATGGCTGTCCCATTAATAGTCATTCTTGCTACAGACACAATTAATGACTAAATTTGTTTCTTTTAAGATGTCTTAGGCGATGTTATAACTTCTAAATACCGAGTGGTTAACACACAGCCGCCTCACCTTATAGTGTTATTATTATGGTATGACTCATGAAACTGAAAGTATTATCTTTGTTCCCAAATAAATCAACTTCTGGAGTTGTACTAAGTCAAATTTTCAGCTAGAACCTCAAAATTCTGTTGAAGTGATCCTGAATGTGCTATCTTGTTGGTTACTTGTTCATTCTATAAATACTAATATTCTTAATAGCTTGTATGGAATGTGGGAGGTGTCATATTTGCTTCAGAAATGTTGACATTCCAATTGTTTTTGAAAAGAATCTACATTCACTGCAAACTTGTAATTTTGTCTTTTGTGACCCAAGAGAGTCACATGCCCTTGTTAATTTTGGGGACTCTAACCCTTGTTCTCCCTAAATTTCAGGAGCCAATTGCACTGGAAGGCATTTGCTTGTTTTATAATGGGTCTTGTCGAAAGATGAGTCTCTTGGAGCTGTCTGTCTGTCAAGATTTTCTGGTGCCATCCTTGTTTATTAAGTGGCAGGGTGTTGGTTGTGTCGTGGGACGGGCGGATGCCAAAACATGTAAGGAAAAAAAAAACATTAGCTTTGTGGAGGATTTGTCTATTTGGTTTGGCTGAGGATTTAGTTTCGAGGCTGAGGTTCCTTTTTTGGGGAAAGTCTAATGGTGTACTGGTCAGATGATGTACCTGAAAGCCCTGAATCAATGGTTGTTGGAACACGCTGTAATTTTGCCTGCCTGTCTTCCATGGTTCGGGAAATGCTATTCTGCAGATGCATGGCCAAAAGCCCAAACTTGACGAAGGAACCGTATATATTCAACGTATCTTTGTTCAATTTCGCGAGTGTATGTTTGAAATCTACGATCATTCAGTTGCTTCTGCGTATTATTATGTTTGGATCCCCTAGAGATAACTATTAGCTGTTAAAGTTTAGCTGAGGTTCTGTTTTCTTTAGCTATTAGCTAGCTATAATTTTTAGAGCTAATGGATCCAAACAAGCCCTAACACAACAACTAATAATTAGGTGAGACGATCTAAACAGGCCTAGGGCAAGCTTGTTACGTACATGGTCAGTGTTCTAGAGGGTTTACCGTTTACCTTTAGCCGATTATGTAACGTGCAAATCCAGGCCGCGTTGTCGGCGTTGATCTCATTTGGTTAACCATCGGCTCGTTGACCTTGTCAAACCAATTGGATCGGCCAGTTTCAGATGCAGAACATAATTTTTTTCCTCCAAAATATAACCAGCGACAACGTGGGCCGTTCATAAATCTGATTGCAACGATAGTTTTAGATCCGTTCCGTTTAACCTTTTAGGATGTCTGAAGCAATTTTGATCATCAGTGCTAAACCAAACAAATTTTGTGTTCTAATAATTTGAACAACTAGACCGTTCAAAAAAATAATAATTTGAACAACTACAAACAGCGGAGGCTAAAGGCCCATTTAAAAGGCTGAATGCAAAGCAGCTCATCGAAGGCCCAGTTACGCAATCCTCTTCATTTTAGCCCAAAAGATGTACGTTGATCCCCAATGATGGTTCACTTTTCGTGAGACGAAATTTTGTAACCGGACAAGTTGAGCAAGACGCAGATTGTGATGGAAGCCTGGCAACCCGAGCTGATGGCCTGTATTCAGGGGCGAAGGCCGCCCAGTCCTTGGGCATCGACAAGGTGATATTTGAAATGGATGCTATGATGGTAAAACAGGCGTTGCAAGTATCTAGCTTCAGACTGTCGTCCATGGGAGGTTTGGTGCATGAACTGAAGGAGGTCCTCAATGAAGAGTTTTCGGAAGCTAGAGTAATACATGTCCCACGCGAATGTAACAAAGTAGCATATGAATTGGCTAGATCAGGTAGTCTAAATCAGGATGTCGTAGTTTTTGATCCTGGTAGCTTACCAGATTGTTTTAATGTGTTGGCGACCAGTGATTTATCTAGTTCACGGTCTTAATGAAATCAGGTGGTTCCCTAAAAAAAGATGCAAATTGTGAGGTGAGGTGTATTTTAAAGAGATTGCAACATTTGAAAACCACATTTGCTTGTGACCGGAAGGATTGCTCGATTGCGATTGTTCGTTCTTATGCTCTTATTTTTCTGTTTTCGTAGTTGACTGCGTTGTTTCCTTCCATCAAACTTGAAATTCGAAAGTTCTCCGCTGCTGTTCCATGTTACGGTGGAACATGTTTACTTCATTATTATGTCTCCAACTAAACACGAGTGCTTGTGTTTTGGCTAACCTTTTTTTTCAATGCTAGATGTCTATTACTCTATGTTTTTTTTAGCGTTGATGGGTGTTCAAGGGTGTGTACGTATACGTGGACTGATGGTTTCAAAAAAAAGTTACATATTTCAATTCCCTCAAATTGATCTCTTTATCTTTTCATATAGTAATAATATTAACCATATTAGTCACGCGAAACTCAAGAGTGGTCTCGTTTTGTGTTGTTTGAATTGGAAATTAGACGAAGGTCTAGCCGTCTAGGTCGCGACTGATGGCACACGGCGCATGCAACGCCATTAACAAAAATCAAGCCGCGCTCATTCCCGGATGGAGTGCCTTTGTTGACTCCTCTGTTGAATTAGGACCAGCCTGGCTGGATAACACCTCTCGCTTCATCAAGCTAATCCAAAGTGTAATTAATTTCATATGAAAAATGTAAGTGTAGGCGTGCTGAATTGCTAATTACTTACCGTGTAATCGTTAATGATTATCCAATCCAGGGGATCTTTTCGGCGGATCTCCCAGTTTAAAATGACATTGCTATTCTACGCTGACGGCGGAGCCGTCAAGATTGTGAGCCGTAGGTTACACCAGCTGTCTCCATCTCACAGGCTAAGCTAGAGAGCCCAAGGTGTTTGGAGATATGCCTGTTCGAACTTTCTTAACGCCTACCTGCAATGCAATGCTTGCACCAAGCCGAAAGTTCGCCATCGTTTTCCAAGTAAAAATCTTGAAGTAAAAAATGAAAAGAAATCAAATCAGAAAATTACCGGTCCTTGCCTGTCACTCTCTAGCACAATCAGCACCAATGCTAAATTAATCGGAAATTTGAATATATAAGCAGGCCACACCTCTAGCAAAAATCCTCCCTTTCGCAGTTTCCCATCTCAAGCTATTCGTGGTTAGTGTGCAAATGGCTCTGACGTTCAGAGAGAGGAGGCTTCCGCAGCTGCACATCTCGCTCGACGTCCCCTCGTGCGCCTTCCGGCACCCCAACCCCAACCCGCCGGCGGCGGCCTCGACGTCCGCGTCGCGAGCCAGCGGCGAGTTCCGGCTCTCGGACTTTGACAGGCTCGCCGTGCTGGGGCGCGGGAACGGGGGCACGGTGTACAAGGTCGCGCACCGCCGGACGTCGGCGCTGTACGCGCTCAAGGTGCTGCACCGCGGCGACCCCGGGGCCGCGTCGGAGGTGGACGCCCTGCGGCGCGCCGACAGCTCGCCGCACGTCGTGCGGTGCCACTCCGTGCTCCCCGCGGCGGTCCCCGGCGACGTCGCGCTCCTGCTCGAGCTCGTGGACGGCGGCTCGCTGGACGCCGTCGCGGCCCGGCGCGGGGCGTTCCCGGAGGCCGCGCTCGCCGAGGTCGCGGCGCAGGCGCTGGCCGGACTGGCGCACCTCCACGCGCGCAGCGTCGTCCACCGCGACGTCAAGCCGGCGAACCTCCTCGTTCAGCGCCGCCGGGGAGGTCAAGATAGCCGACTTCGGCATCGCCAAGGTCCTCTCGCGCGCCGGCGACCACTGCACCGCCTACGAGGGCACCGCCGCGTACATGAGCCCCGAGCGGTTCGACACGGAGCGCCACGGACACGCCGACCCCTGCGCCGCCGACGTGTGGAGCCTGGGGGTCACCGTTTTGGAGCTCCTCATGGGACGGTACCCGCTGCTCCCCGCCGGGCAGAAGCCCAGCTGGGCGGCGCTCATGTGCGCCATCTGCTTCGGCGAGCTGCCGTCGCTGCCAGACGGCGCAGCGTCGCCGGAGCTCCGTGCGTTCGTCGCCGCTTGCCTGCAGAAGGACTACACCAAGCGGGCGTCTGTGGCGCAGCTTCTTGCGCACCCGCTCGTCGCCAGAAGAGACGTCGCGGCCTCCAAAGACGCGCTCTGGCGACTGGTGGCCGGAGCCTGAACTGGCTGCGCCGCTTAGGCATTAGATTGATCACACAGCCGTAGGATTGTTACATTTGTACACATGTGGATAGCTCTTTCTTACACAATTTAGTAATCTAATCTATTAGGGACTAACATTAAACA